GCTACCACGCCTGGCTGATTTTTTGGTTTATTGTAGAGATGAGGTCTCGCCAAGTTGCCTAGGTGGGTCTCAAACCCTTGGGCTCAGGCAATCTACTCACCTCAGCCTCCCGAGGCATGGGATTACAGGCTGAGCCACCGAGCCCGGCTCCTTTAGATTCATAATAGTTTTTTTCTTCTCTTGATTTAACTTGCCAGAGGTTTGTCTGGGGATTTTAAAATTATTATTATTATTATTATTATTTTGAGTCAGGATTTCACTCTGTTGCCCAGGCCAGAGTGCAGTGGCACGATCACTTCTCACAGCCTTTACCTACTGGGCTCAGGTGATTCTTCTGCTTCAGCCTCCTGGGTAGCTGGAACTATAGGCACACTCCATCACGCCTAGCTAATTTTTTGATTTTTTTTTGTTGTTGAGATGAAGTCTCATTATGTTGCCTAGGCTAGTCTCAAATTTCTGGGCTCAAGCAGTCCTCCTACCTATGCCTCCCAAAGTGCTGAGATTACAGGAGTGAGCCACCATGCCTGGTTATAGCATACTTTCATTAGTATACAGATCAAGTAAACATAAAACTCAGTAAGGGTAGGGTAGACATAAAAAAATGTAATTAATAAGCTTGGATGTGGGTTATGGATTGAACAGTTAGAGAGGATATATTTTTCTTAGCATATATGGAACATTTCTAAAAACCAGCATACACTAGGGTTAAGGTTAAGACAACTTTAATACATTTCAAAAATTAAGTATTATATATTATTATTTATCTCAAATATAATGTAAGTAAGTTAGAACTTAACAAAAAGTTAAATAAACCCCATATACATCTGGAAATTATAAAACACATTAGAAAGTGAACCAAAAAATAAACTCAAAGAAGGTAGGAGAGAGATAATAAAAATGAAGGGAAAATTAATGAACTAGGAAACCATAATACAGTAGAAAAAATTATCAAAGACACAAAAAGTCCTCATAAGACTTTAAGGGAATTAATTAATGGCTGCCTGGTGCTAGAGCTTTCTTTTGGGTAACAACAAATGGGCAAACTTTTCTCCCAAAGTTTGCTTGTGGTCTTCATCCAAGCAGGTATTTGACAATCCTCATAATCTTTCAAGGTTACTTTTTGTTACTTTTCAGAATTCGTAAACTTTGAACTAAGCAACAGTTTTAAAGTGGCTTTGGGACTATTCATTGACTCCTTGCACAATGGATGTAAGTTTGGATTTATCATGAAGTGAAGCTGTAAATTTTAAATGCATTTATGGGTATACAAGGTCTGACAATTAAGTTCATGAACTTACCCTAGAAAAAGTGCTACATACTTCATTGCAGAGTATCACTAAGGTCATCTTCGAAGTACACCCCTTGGAAGCTGTGCACTGATGCCAATGCCTGATCCACCTGTCAAAGCAATTTTTCTGGAATGGCCATCAGAGCTGTTGTCCCATTACCCTTGATGTCCTGAACGTCATCAAAATGTCTTCCTTTCAGTATTCCTTGTAACAACAGGTAAAGAAAAAAGTCATTGGGGGCCAGATCAGGTGAATAGGGAGGGTGTTCCAATACAGTTATTTGTTTATTGGCTGAAAACACCCTCACAGACAATGCTGTGTGAGCTGGTGCATTGTTGTGATGCAAGAGATCCTTCAGGACCATTTTTGCACACACCTTTCTCATGCCAGGATTTTCAGTTTAGATTTTCCTGTTTCTCTATAGATGTTTATTTGGTCTGCTATGCTTCTTGCAGTTAGTTGACAATTGTGACGCATGATTTTATAAATTTTTGCAATGTTTTTGTCAGTTCTGCTCATTACTAGCTGTCCTGACCTCTCTTCAACAGTGATGCTTTCTCTTCCCTCAGAAAAACATTTGAACTTGGACAAATATGTCCCTGATTCTGATTCCACTCTTGCCGAGTTTAACAAGCACTGACTTTCTCACAACGGCACACAAAAACATACAACAATAATGAATGCCACTCAGCAAGACACCACCACATGTCGACACAAACACAGCTGTGAGACACTGACATACCAAAGCTAGGAAGCCTTCCTGAGTTGTTTGTACAATGCTGGCAATGTACGCACACGGTGGCAAGTTTGCAAACTAAACTGTCAGACCTTGTTGTTTCTACTAATTTGAGTATCAGATTAGTGCAAGAAATAGAAAACAAGTTGAAGTCATAACATCATGAGGAAACAAAGAAAATTTTGTGCCTATCAAATTTAAGAGACGAGTGCTGCCATAGTCCAAAATTTTTCCATATCTCGTTTTGTAGTAGTCTTGACTGTTAGATTGTAAGACAAAAAATTAAACAAAAACACTTCACAGTCATGTCATTTTTTTGTCCCCAAAGAACTTTTTAGAACAATCACTATTCATATACACTAATTAATTGCTAATGATGTCTGACTATTCCCAAGCAAACAAATCTGTCCTCAAGAGATGAAGGGATGTATATTTTAAACCACTGAGGACATTCACGAGTATCCTCAGGATTAAGGTTATTCCAAAAGGGGATTAAACTTTAAAAAAATCAGTGCTTATGTTAGTGGAATAAATTTCACCTCTAAGGTTGTACAATAATATACTTTAGTACATTAGCTTTAAGGAAAAAAATCAGCATGATGGGTATTTCTGTGTTCCAGGAGCCATTTTGAATCAAGCAAGCTACAGAATCAATCCTTTGGCAAATGGTGTTTATTCCCTTGGGTGGCACACTGGTCCTACAAAGCACAAATTTGATAAAAGTTTTAAAAAGTCTTTACTATCAATATGCAGTGTTTATATAAGCACATGAATTGTCACATAAAGAGATATTTGAAACAGAGGTCTTCATGCGTAACAGACGTATTGTATTATCATTTGTCTTTCATTTTAGTTACCAACAGCTGGTTACAGGTTATATTATCATTCATTCTGAACTAAGACCCAAATATTTTATTTCACGGGTGACCACAGAACTATTTCAGTGCACTAACGTAAGAAGAAATGGGAGACTGGAATCATATTTATGAGAAAATGGTTTAACAGTAGAAACTTCTATGTACAAGTCAGTGGGTTGAAAAGCACAAGAGAGTGATGGAGAAAATCTTACACATACTAAAAATATCAAACTTGAAGTTTTTTGTCATAGGTCACAAATCTGTATAATCCTTAAAATTAATTCACGTATCATCAATCCAAGACCATGGCTGCCTAATGAAGGTGATACTTAAATAGTTCAGCGATTGTTCCATTAACATTTAGGACCAAAGTCCCCACCTCCCCCCCCACCGCAAAAACACCATCCAATGACTTGTGTCATTGGACTGCCCCTTCTGGACCCCAATCCAAGCTCATTTAATTGTTATTGGTAGCATCCAGCCACACTGGGATACGGCACATGAGATGTTGTGGAAACATTTATTTTATTTCCTGCTGCTACTTAACTTAGCAGACTACTTGATCCATTACAAGGAAAGCCTAAACAAGAGAAAAGCTGAGATGCTCTTATGACTAGATTGAGACTTGGACTTGTTATTAACAAAAACTCATGAAAACATTGGAAATAGATTTCCGATCCAAGTGAAGGTGCTTGTGTTTTTTTCGTGGGTGTGTAAGCAAATGTCTGGCACAGGGGTTTGACTCTCATCTGGCATGCTATGGATGACAAGTGGCCCATACGGGAGCAGCTGTGTAAGTGTGCAAGTGATTAGTCTGTTTCCAGAGCACCGCCACTGTTCTCTTCATTTACTATTATTTCCTTTTGGCTGGAGGATCTGCTGCCAAGCTGGCACTGTCTTCTCCCAAACGCCTTCTTTCAGCCAGTTTACAGGGGAGTGTTTTGGAGAAAAACTGCCAATGCTTCCTTTTCCCTTCTCAGATTAAAAACATTACATCTGCTTAACATATGCAGTCTCTGTTGGCCCAGGGAACCAGACAAAAGTTCTCTGGATGATTATCTCACTGGTTTTTGCCTTCTAAAAGTGTTTTCACTTGTGGGGAGGGATACCAGAGATGGCATGAAATCCTTGTTCTTTCTGGGTTGCATCCTTGGACTCAAGTACCAGCTCCACCACTTACTGGTTGTGTGACCTTGGGAAGGTCACTTAACTTTTGCTGTATCTCAGTTTTCTTCTCGATATTTTGAAGACAGTACTAAACTGTATGTATTTTTGGTAAACATTAATCTCTAATTTACTTTCTATATTTAAGGAAATACTAAGCAAAATCCCACTAGGATTTTCCTTTTTCTCACAGGGTGGGGGATATTTGTCTTGATCTTAAAATTTCTCTAGGAAAGTAAATGTGTAAAAATATCTAAGAAATTTTTGAAAATGAATGGGAAAATCTTGCCTTAGTCAAAACAACTGTAAATATGATTATTGCAAGAAAATACATATATTAGCAAGAGAACAGGGAAAAGGTTTGTATCTAGTATATAAAATTTATTTTAAGTTAGTAGTGACAAGTTATGTTGCTCAATAAATGGATTGGGACAGCTAAATATTCATTTGTGGGGAAAATGGCTAAATTTTGATCTTTTTATTCTGGGACTTTGTGACTTCCTCCTCTCAGAGCTTGGATCCCAAAATTTCATCTATTTTTTTCATATACAATAAGTATTATTGCAGTTGAAAGTTTAGGAATTGGCCGGGCTCAGTGGCTAAGCCTGTAATCCCAGCACTTTGGGAGGCCAAGGCGAGAGGATTGCCTGAGCCTGAGGGTTTGAGACCACCCTGGGCAACATAGCAAGACCTCGTCTCTACAATAAGTCCAAAAAATTAGCCAGGTGTGGTAGTACGCACCTGTAGTCCCAGTTGCTTTGAAGGCTGAGGCGGAAGGATCACTGGAGTCCAGCAGGTCAACGCTGGGGTGGCTGTGAGCATGCCGCTGCACTCCAGCACTCCAGCCTGGGTGATGGAGTGAGACTCCAACTCAAAAAAAAGCAAGTTCTGAAATTATCCACACAGGTGATAGATGCAGGCATGAAAGTGGACACGATCACTAAAGAAGGGTATCGAGAGGTCCGTGGTTGGAATCTTAGGGTACAGCTACACCCAGGAGGCAGGTGAAGGAAAAAGGACCTAAGGTGGATTGTAATAGAACAATATCAGTGACAAACTTATTTATTTTAAAATCATGAAATCCAAGGGAGGAAGGTTTTAAATGAAGTTAGAGAGTAAGATGACTGAGGACTTGCATGAGCTTAATAGGTTTGACAAATGGAGAGCAGTTTTCCTGAAAAAAAGAATGTTCCTAGTACTAAGTTTTAAGCCAGATTCAGTTAGGTGACAGCAGTCAGACTAACAAAGGAATTGTGCTATAGAAGAGATAGAACTCCAGTTTGAATGGCAAATAACAGGGGGAAGATTTCCAGAATCGACTGAACCAATTTTGAACCTGCTGTTACAGTAATCTACTAAATTCCAGATACTGATACCGTTTTTCACAGCAAAGCTGCAAGTGTCTTGTTTTCCTTATCTTACAGACAAGGATTTGTAAGGCAACATTATGACACTACCTACTAACTCCTTTGGGCAAGTTATCTAAATAGTCGGAGGCAGTTTTATTAAGTGAAGATAATGCTACCTACCTCTTCACTGTCCTGAAGATTAATTATAAATATATGTATATGTATATGTACACAAAGAAACATTATAGTGCAGCATTTAGTGGGAGCTAATAAATATTTCTGGTATCATCTTAGCAAGAAAAATAACTCCTAAGTTAGGGTGATGGCAGAATAACTGAATTTAAGTTCAGTCTTCCTTTAACGTGTACAGAGCTTTATTCTGAGCAACCATCATTGATGTACAGGATTCTTCTCTTCCTCTCTTGCAGGTATTGGATGTCAGCAGAGAAGGCAAAGAAGAAGTGTTCTATGGACCTACACTCCCTTTTGCTTCCAATGGAATAGCAGCATGCTTCCTCCCAGCTCCGTATTTCACATGTCCCAACCTTCAGACTCTTCAAGTGCCTCATCACAGGATTGGCACCATCTGAAAAGCCAATGCTCTGTAATCACCATCATGAACGGGAGGAAAAATATAGCCCTGACTTTTGGATACTGGGCATGAAAAGACTCAGTGCTCAATGCTTGTCTTGTTTTATAGGTCTTACATTCAGATAAATATTATCCCCAAAATGAACAATTTTCTAAAACACATTACTGAAAACTCTTGTCACTCTTCTCAGTGTATGTCAACATACAATACAATATGTATGACTTTTATTGTGGTTTAGCTTAGTGCCAACTTAATGGTACATTATTGTTCCATGGGTCTTTAAAAGCAGTCTTTGCACACTTTTTCTAATCAGCACCATCTAGAACATGACACTGTTAGTGAGGCAATTTTCTTTACACAATGGCATCAATGATCTTATTTAAAAAAAAAAAAAGCTCCCGTACCTAATCCCTTTACTACTTAAACTTGGGCTTGTAATTTTTCTTTTTAAAATTTAACATTATGCAGCCCTGCTCAGTGGAGACTCAGCATTATGACATTATAAATTTTTAAATGCCATATTTTATTCAAGGTGATACGAATGATAGAAGTACACTGGAACAGCAATTGGAATACCCAGATTTTTCACTGGGTTCCTCTGACCTTGGGTCAGAACCTAACTTTACAATGCTTGTTTTTTCACCTTTTTAAGCTGCATAATTACTGACTTCCATATTAATTCAAAAGAGCATTGTGAGGATTAAACAAATGCCTTGAAATACTTTACCCAAGAGAAAAAAAAGTCGCATTACAAGGTATTTGACTGCATTGGGAACACTGTCACTGAACAGGGATTATTTTCGAAGTTTAAAAATTACTTGATAAAACTTGGAAAACATGTTATGGGATAAATGATTCGGAAAAGCATTTGAAAGAGACACACTAATTAGAAAATAGGAAGTTTACTAATACCAAAGATAAATAAACTCATACAAATCCTTGCCTCAATTAACTCTCTCAAATGTCTCATTTAAAATCATTTAGTGAAAAATGACATTTTAAAGCTAAAAAAAGTTTACTTGTACTAATTATAGTACCATAAAGTGCTGTGACATAAATTTGAACCCAGAATTGGCAGTTCTAATAAAAGTTTTTCCATTTTGTTAAAGGTTATGTCAATCTCAAGTGCTTGTGGGATTCTTCTCCACCACCAATACATATTTTATTACTCCCACTTTTAATAATGCATAAGAATTCTTTTTTGGGCTAAGTTTTTGGGTTTGCTTTGTCTATAACAAAAAAATAAATAAAACAACTTAATAATCACATTTGAACAAAATTCAACAAGCAAAATGTGAAGTGTTTTTTTTCCTTTCCCTAACCTCTTCAAGACCTAGATCATCTTTATTAAAAGGAGACTTTGACTCTTTTCCTTAGTAGTTTAATCATTCAGCAATCCCCCTCTTATAGGAAATTGTCATTTTATTCATGTATCCATTTTTGGTAATCAAAAGTGAAAAAAAAGAATTTTTCACTAACTTTATATATTGTTACATGATACATAAAACATTATTTTTAAAATATACATGACTTCTGGTTATTCAGATTAAAGGGCAGGAAGGAGACTAGAAGGAAAAAAGTAAATTTTAAAAAGAACAGGAATTTAGACCAAAAAAACCTTAAGAGTATTTAGACAGTTCTGAATAGCAAAAACTGATATTGATAATCAATATTTAGAATGACAGCTTGAGAGGTATAAACCAGCTAAACTAAAATTTTTAAATGCCTTACCAAGCCAGGAAAACGGATTCCAATATTTCAGAAATCTTTTCAACAAGGATATAAGCAAGAAGTATTTCAGGTGTGCTAATTTTTCTACTTGGCATATGAATTTTCCCTCCAGCAGTTTTACCTTATAAAACCGTTACAATCTATTTGTATTCCCAGACCCAACATCCAATCAGTGAAATGGAAAAGCTCTAAAAATAAGCTTGCATGGCTTAGAATGGTAAGGCAGCCTGAGACTACCCTTGATTATTTCTGTATAGATTTCTAACTATTCATATCAAACAAATCAGCATATATTATCAAACCCCTCCTTGGTAATCTTCATCATGTATTATTCACTAATATTAGAGAACTGAATCCGACTTTTAAAAATTCTTGTGGAGTTCAAACACATCCTTTACAGCTATAGCCAAAGAGCAGCATCAAAACACAATGTCTCCTCCCTAAGGAGAAAAAAAACACAGACACATAATTGGTGTCCATTTCCTCAAAGTATCAATAGTAAGATAGATAAAAGTTCTATTAAACTGTGTCTGGTCATATAAGCCAAATTCCACTGAAACTGTTCACATATATTTTTTCTATTTAAGTGAACTACCCTATCGTAATTCATCTTTCATTTTTACTCTTGGATTAAAAGCCATATTGTATTTATATGTAAATTACTTATTACTAATGTGAGTTTCTATAGGAAGACCATGAGATTGCCAAACATTTAAATAACACTTCAAGATTATACTTTAAGAAAGAAAACGAAAAGCTACTACACAGATCACTGCAGTTCCTCTTGCTGTGGGAGAAAATAACAGAACAGACATGACTTTCTCAAATACTGGGTTTATACAATGAAAAATATTCTTAGATCCTTAATAACAAAATGCCAATTAGGTTTTGATTAGGGTACTTTTCATATTTTTTTCCTTCATATTTTCATCTTACCTTAACAACACATACATCACATTCTCTTCAGTTATCTTAATATTTGAAAACCTTTCTTTTATCACAAAATATAAAAACAACAGGAATAAGAAATTGTTCCTCCACATCACAAGGCTTTTATTTTAGTTTCTAAATGTGAATCTGTTACAAAAAAACGGAATAATCAAGGACACAAGCTAAATATATATATCCTTTTATTATTTATATATCATTAATCTTTATTACATGCACAAATAACTTAAAACTATGTGTATAAAATCAGAATGTCCACAATTTTTCTAAAAGCACAATTCACAAATGCAATACACTGCATAACCAACAGCACACTCAAATTTTTATTAATTAGAAATCGGTCCATTTCCAATCACTGGATACAGATTTTGGTAACCTTACCATTCAGGTTATCACAGAATCAAAATACAAATCTCATATCTTATTAAATTTATAAAGAATACGCTACTTTGCTAGGTTCCCAACCAAATAAAGCATGTTATTTATACTGGCATACTACACGCTTGTCTGACAAGGCATTTTTTAACTCTAAGAGGGGTAAGTAAGCAAGAGAACAGTTTTTGGAAAATGTAAGGTTTATATAAAAAGTCTATCAATCAAAAAGCAGTGGTTTAGTACAGATGACACAACTTTTGGTGAGGTTTCTATGATATCTACCTTTTATCTTTGAAAATGAGTGCTATAATATGTAGGGTTTAGGGAAGGCAGACTTCTGACAGGCTTTCCCCAGCTGCAGAAGCTTGTCAAATTTTTATGTAACATATAATCTTAACTGTCAAAGACTTTGTGAAAATACATGGAAACAGGTCCATGTAATTCTTTAAGAACAAAATAGCTTTAAAATTTTGTGATAAAGCCTGGAAGAAGACAATAATAATGGGTGATGAAAACTACAAACAGTGTAAGACTCACAAATAATTTTCTTAAACAGATGCCAAGGTAGAAAAAGTTAAATATGCTTAAGAAGAAAATATAGTAGGGATAGGTAAAGACATTAAAGTTTTAAACTGTGAAATTCTTCTGACGCAAGTGAACTCAATGCTGAATGATTTTTCCACAGACAATCCTCCATGTTTCCAAACCCCATGGAAACCTTCTAATTAAATGTTAACTAAATTGAAATTTAAACCATAACCAAATCCAAACGCTTAATAAAGCCCTTTTTTGACTCTGCTGTCCTTCAATCATCTTTTATACTCCATTTTTTATTTTATAGATAGTATTTGACTATAATACTGATGTATCAAAAATGTGTTCGTGTATTTTCTTCCCATTTATCTGTCTTAGGTTTCTATAGGAAGGGTGATGTTCCAAGTAGCAAGCTGAATATGGCTGAGTGTAGAATGAACATGGCAATTAGCGAAAGCTGCTAAGTCTTTTGTTTGGAGAGATACGTTTGGGAAAAAAAAGGCACAGTCAGATAGATAGCAGAAAGTCTCAAGACTGAAGAGTTTGAATGTCAGCTTCTAAACAATGAGAAGTTACTGGAGGTCTTTCAGCAGAATAGTAACAAGGTGAATGTAGTATTTTAGGAACACACATTTCAGAACAGCATGTAAGCTTCCCTATAGGAAAGGAAATCAGAGGTTTAATAAGATAAAACGGCTATAGTGGCCAACAGAAGAAAACGGTTTGGATGCAGGGGACTGAAGAAGGAAGAGGAAGAGGAAGAGAAAGAGGAGGAGGAGGAGGAGGAGGAGGAGGAAGGGGAAGAGGAAGAGGAAGAAGAAGAAAGTCTAAGAGCCTGCACTGGTGATCAACTGAAAGTGGAGGAAGAATGAAGAATTTAAGATGCTGTGATGTTTCTAGGCTAAATAGCTTGGGAACATAGCGTATTTTGAGAAAATAGGCAGAAAATGAAAGCAGGAGCTACATGAGATACAAGATGACATGGGCAGTTTGATGTTGTTATCTTAAGATTTCAGGAGAATACAACTAGAGAGGTTTAGAAAGAAATTCACACTAGAAATAGATTTGAGAGACAACATCATGAGCTAGTGTTATCAGTTCACTACTAGCAGAATGCTGAGTCAGAGTTGATGGAGGGCCAGATCTTACTACTTGGGACAAGAAAGAAGATCACGAAGGTGCTCTCAAGTTACAGTACAGTTATTGCTCAGTTATTTGTGGAATTGATTCTAGGACGCACTGCAACTCCCAAAATCCGTGCATACTCAAGTCCTGCAGTTACCTCTGTGAACCCCAGTATACAAAAAACTGGCCCTCCATATACTTGGATTTTGCATGCCACAAATACTATATTTTTGATCTGCATATAAGTGGATCCGTGCAATTCAAGCCTGTGTTGTTCAAGGGTCAACCACATAGGTAGGAAAGGACAGTATCACTGAGGATGGGAAGATGAAGAAAAATACAAATATCACAGGCCAAAAAACATAAGAAATGAGAAGAAACTCTTAGATTTGCCCAAGAGAGAATGGCTTACATTACAATAATGGAAGAAGCAGCCTCAAAAATTAAAGCATATTTCGGGGGAAAGAGATATTAAAGAAGCAGGTACAAGGGTACTCAGAGTCTGGGAATGGAAGGAGGCAAGACTATAGTAATAACAAGTGGAGGATCAGTGAAGGTGTTTAAGAACTGAGTCATACATTTTCTTTTTACTTTAATAATAAAAATAGCTTCTTTAAAATTTTACTTATACATAAATTCAAAACACACACACACTGTTTGCTGTTACTGATTTTTAAGTACAAACTTCGGTTATTCTTAGCCATCTACCATCTATGTACTAATACATGATTAGGTAACAGCTTTTCCTATCCCTTAAAAGCCTTATGCTCTAAGAAGGAAGCCTCTGAAAGATATCTTGATTGATCTCTTCCGGAAATTAAAAACTATGTGTACAATATGTATACACACACACACACACACACACACACACACACACACACACACACACACACACACACAAAACCTCTTTAAAGGCATCACCCTAAATGGATAAACTTCTTTAATTGCTGAAACTTGTAAATCGATACATTATTTGTTTGATAAGTAAGTCACTGTCATAATGAAAAGAAACTCAATGAGTTTCTTTGAAACTCTTTAAACAGACTGAAAGAAGCTTTCATTTGTTCCATTTGATGAAGTTGATTTGGGGGTAAATTAGGCTATGTATGTCATGAAAATAACATATACTCCTTTGGATTCCATGGATTACAATTAGAAGAGCGCTATTAACTACAGAATGTTTACTGCAATGTATTTCCTTTTTAAAGATGCTTCTTGAACCAAAAAAGGTTGGAAATATTTTGTTTTTTAACTTTTTTGGGGGGGTTGGAATCTCACTCTGTTACCCAGGCTGGGGTGCAGTGGCATGATCACAGCTCATCATAGCCTTTACCTCGCGGGCTCAGGCTATCCTTCTGCCTCAGCTGTGAACACAGGTGTGCACCTAGCTAAACTGAAATGTTTTCTTTAGAGAACAGAACTATGATGAAGACTATAATCCCAAGAAGGAAACAAATCATTTCAAAGTTAGCAAACAAGACATGCGACAAAACAAAACAAAAAACACTGGCCAGGCATGGTGGCTTACACCTGTAATCCCAGCAACTTGGGAGGCTGAGGCAAGAGGATGT